GCCCGGCCAGAACGGAGCCTTCTCAGATCTAAACCGAGGTCTTGTGCTACATTACCGATAAGAGAACCTTCCTTCATCTCCTCTGGTACTGAATAACGGATTTGGCCTCTGATGGTGGAAATCATGAAGACAAAGATGAAGAGAAGCCATGTCGTCGTTTCACACATCAGCCGTTTTCGGAATGGCTGCTGCTGTATCCCCATGTTGCTACTAAAATAAATCCAAAACACGACTTGAGATCAGTCGGTCACACATAAAAAAAGCAAATTGGATCCCAGTTCAATGGCGATGCGCCTTTAACTGTTAAAACGGTTGGATTGCTATTAAACAGGCAGATTCACTGCGACTCTCTCCAACGTCTCTCTGAATAAAGATTGGTTTTAGACCTCTCCTCTTTCTCTCGGCTGTCTGTAACAACACCACAACGTTTTCCTGATCAACAGCGTCCCTTAGAGTCCAAACCGAGTAGAGAAGCGAATACACTGCAAATGCATAAAAAAACAACTATGCAACATACTGCGGGAACAGAACAACTCAACTATAGATTAGTTGCAAATAATATTAACAGAAGAAATATATAGCACCAGATGTAGCATAAAGACACATACTGTATACCAAATGAGACCAAAGGCGATATATAACAACTTTAGAAGAATAAGCTTTACTTAGCTCTAAACTTCTAAACACTTTAAAGAGATAGTGAAATAAATACAAAGGTTAAAGAAGAGCAGTGATTACAAGGAAAAGCCGGTATATTTAGTAGACAAACCTCAAAAGAACAAAAACACGAGGAAACTGTAAATATTTATGAATAGGATTTAGTACATTTAAAATGTGGAAAAACATCGGCATAATTTGTGTATCCCACTTCGCTTGGCAGTGTAATAATTATAATCAAAATACTGATAATATGTTAATAGAAAATATAACATCACGATATTGTTTGAGAATATAGATAGGACAATCATTTTTAAAGTTCTTCATGTGAATGCAAAAACTATGTCAACTGAGGGAAAGTAAGTGTACTGTCCATGGTGCTGAAAACGAAAACTTACTGTGCCACTAAGCTAGAGCGCTGAAAAGGAAAAACTAACCTCTAGAGGAGAGTCTGGTTCATCCAGGATGCTCTTTTCACTCTGTATCCGCTGCATCGTTCCTGTAGAACTAGGATCCATTATCAGCACGTTCTGACTACCAGCTCTGTCGAACTTACAGTCACTCTTTCTGGAGTCAGTCGTCCTGCACACCTCGTAATTGTACACACGTGGCAGAGTCCCTGTCCCCAAAGTGTCTGAGTAACGTGGTGGATAATATGGAATGACAGGCAGGTTGGAGTGATACAGGATGCGAGACTGTCTCCACCTGTAGATTTTGACTGATATAATAACCACTAAACACGTGATGAAGAGGAAGGAAACTACAGCCAGAGCCAAGACCAAGTAAAAAGTCAGGTTGTCATTGTACTCCTTGTCGTGGGTCAACTCAGTGAACTCCGACAGCACTTCAGGGAAGCTGTCCGCCACTGCCACGTTAACAACGACTGTAGCTGAACGAGAGGGCTGCCCGTTGTCCTCCACTATAACAGTCAGTCTTTGTTTGACAGCATCTTTATCAGTGACTTGGCGGATAGTTCTGATTTCTCCATTCTGTAAGCCCACTTCAAACAGCGCCCTGTCTGTGGCTTTCTGCAGTTTATAGGAGAGCCAGGCATTCTGTCCAGAGTCCACATCAACAGCCACCACCTTAGTCACCAGATAGCCCACATCTGCTGAACGAGGAACCATTTCAGCCACCAGAGAGCCACCAGTCTGGACTGGGTACAGAACCTGAGGAGGGTTGTCGTTCTGGTCCTGGATAATTATTTTTACACTCGCATTGCTGCTGAGTGGAGGAGAGCCTCCATCCTGTGCTCTGACCAAAAACGTAAGCTCTTTAAGTTGTTCATAATCAAATGAGCGAACTGCGTGAATAGTTCCAGTTTCGGCATTAATGGACACATAAGAAGAGGTTGGATTGCCACTGATCTGTGTCTCTTCGAGAAAATATGATATTCTAGCGTTTTGATTCCAGTCACTGTCTCGTGCGCTGACCGAAAAAATGGACATTCCCGGGGAATTGTTTTCTGTAATGTAAGCAAGGTAGCTGTTTTCATCAAATAATGGCGCATTGTCATTAACATCAGAAATTCTCAGTCGTAAAACTGTTGTGCTTGACAAGGATGGCGTTCCTGAGTCACTCGCCCTTACAGTTATGTTATACTCAGGTTCAAGTTCCCTGTCAAAAGCTGACACTGTTATTAATGCATAGTAATTAGTTATTGTGGATTTCACTTTAAACGGGAGAGCGCTGTCTGTTGCGCAGCTAATTTGACCATTTTGTTCTGAGTCTGCATCTATTACGTTTATTATTGCGACTGTGGTGCCAGAGGGAGAATCTTCCGGCACAGGACTGGAGAATGACATCACATTTATAACAGGTGCGTTATCATTGACGTCTATAATCTCAATTAGAACTTTGCTCGAATCTATTAGACCTCCTTGGTCCGTAGCTTCAATCATAATTTCGTGTTTCTTTTCTTTTTCATAATCTAGGTGCCCTGCGAGTGTTATAGTTCCCATAGATTCATCTAAATGAAATATGTCAGCCAGCTGTTCTTTCATGTTTGAAAATCTATATGTAACAAGACCGTTTGACCCGATGTCTGCATCGCTTGCATTCACCGTCGTGATGTAGGTACCTCTTAATGAATTTTCCAAAACGGCAGCCCTGTAGAAAGACTGGTTAAACACTGGAGGATTATCATTAACATCCAGCACTGTAATATCTATATTTACAGTACCAGATCTATGCGGAGTTCCACCGTCTATAGCGATGAGCTTCAGTGATATTTTTGGCTCACTTTCTCTATCTAACGGTTTTTGTAACACCATCTCAGCATATTTTCTACCATCTGGACTTGAGTGTTGTTTCAGACCAAACATGTCATTTGTGTTTAATATGTATTTTTGTAGACCATTACTGCCCACATCTGCGTCCTCGGCGCTGGCCAATAAAAATCGCGATCCCAGTGTCGCAGACTCGCTAATTTCAAATTTCATTTCTTCCTTCCTAAATGTCGGGGAGTTGTCGTTTATGTCAGTTATCTCTACTGTTACTCGGTGCAGCTCCATAGGATTTTCTAAAATAACCTCAAAGCTGAAGCTACACGGTGTTACGTCTCCACAAAGCTGCTCTCGGTCTATCCTCTCGTTCACGACTAAAATGCCTTTGTCTGTTTTCAGCTCCGTGAACTGGATGCTTTGTCTGGTCACAATACGGGCACGGCCAGAACGAAGCCTTTGCACATCCAGACCGAGATCTTGAGCTACATTTCCAATAAGAGAGCCCCTTTTCAGCTCCTCTGGGATTGTATACCTGATTTGTCCAAACACGATGTGACTGAGACAGCCCAGAAACAGCAGAAAGGGCCATACTGACCTGAAATTCAAACGCCATTTTACACACGACAGAGGCGAGCTTTTAAACGCCATTGCACACACAAAAAACGAAAATTGCACAAAATCCTCTTGTAAACGATCCACAAAGAACAAAGGCTGTTATATCCAGTATCCTTTGATTTTGAAGTCCTTGCTCTTAACGGATTTGTGACTGCAGCTCTGAATGCGAAGCCCACCGTTTATTTTCGATCCTCAGCAAACGGGAAAAAGGAAGCCTCTGCCTCCACCAAATCAGCACTGAATACTAGTTTCTCTGACCAACAGCGTCCCTTACTGTCCAAATACACGAATATCACAAACACGAAAAGGAGAAAAAAAGTGCTTTCAAAGCACTTTTCTGCTTTACATTTTTAATCAGCAATCACACATCTGTCTTTTAACTACAATGCCATAAAGTCTAATGCAGAAACACCAGTGAGACAGTTGTTTTAAAATATAACAATAAATACTTAAATTAAAACAATAGATCTTGCTCCCCTTTTCAAAGTGAATTAAGCAGCACGTTAAAAGGGGAGTGTGAACCTTCAAGCAGTTGAGCTGTCCAAGAGTTGTGGTTCTGAAAACGCACCATGGGTTACCAGAAATGTGAGCGATGAAATGTGGTATAACGTGGAATAAACCTCTAAAGAATGTGGGCATAAACTTAATTATGTCAAAGTCCTCACCTCCAGAGGAGAGTCTGGTTCATCCAGGATGCTCTTTTCACTCTGTATCCGCTGCATCGTTCCTGTAGAACTGGGGTCCATTATCAGCACGTTCTGACT